CCCCAAAACCCCAAAACCCCAAAACCCCGTAAAGAATCAGAATCATCAGTATAGATAAGCAAATAAAAGCATGATAATTATGAAACTATCCTAAACTAGGTCGTGAATTTTTTGTAGTTTCATAGAGTGAAAATTAGATAATAATAAATCTGATTAAAAAGAAAGGGTATTGTGGAATGTATAAATGATAATTAACGTCATAAATAGTAGGTCTACTATCTTCAATCTAAGTTATATTCTCTTCTTAAGCATTGAATGAATAAGTTATAGTTGATGACATCGCTTTCATCGATATTTGACAAATCAAACTTCAACTCCTTCTTGAATATTCTATCTAGCTAATCAGATGACAGCTTTATGTGATCACTTTCAATAACCTACCTCAACTAAAGCAGGGTGATAATACCTGTCTTCTGTTAATCAATATGCTCAAATAGCAGTCTTAGAATATTTTCTTTGCTAAAGAGGTAACTTGAAAAACAACTGTTTGAGAATTCCTCATAGTCAATCACTCCTTCTTATTTCTAATCTAATTCATTTATCAAGATTTCTAGTTCTCTTTCGTTAATTTTCATGTTGGCAATCTTAAGGCATCTTGTGAAATCATCATGATTCAGTTTTCCTGATCCATTATCGTCATTCATTCTAAATGCTGCTTTCAGATCTTCAAAAGATTCCTCTGGAACTCTCGATGCTAACTCAATTATACATGCTTTCCTACTTTTTACGCCACCTAAAAATAAAGTTATAATAAATAAACTACTAATTGTTTCTTTCATGTTTTCATAAACAAAGTCTGGTTGAGCAGCGGAGGGTGCTTGCTCACCACCTGCATGCTTCAAAATCCACCTATGCTACTATGCTTATTAAGCAGAGTATCTTTAATTGACATCTTTGTTAAGAAGATTTCTGATAAGGTCTTTACAGTCCTCAGAAACATTTTTAAAAGCATCATGTTCAAAGTGAAATTGACCTTTTATAACATTTGTAATGATCTCTCTCTCATCACGACCTGGGAATGGTACCTTTCCTGAGAGTAAAATATACAACACAACTCCCATTGACCAAAGGTCAATCTTGGATGTGTACTTTTAGTTGAAAACTTCAGGTGCTATGTAATATGGCTAGAGAAGATAAAGCTAAATAAACTTACAGATCCACTTGGAGTGCACATAACTGGCTACCCTGAATAATCTTTTGAAAGACCTGTTATAAAAGATAAATCCCTGATAAATCTTACCAAAATCAATTAGTTTCATGCATGTTACATCATTTTTATTCTTAAGCATGAAGTTCTCAGGCTTTATATCTCTGAATTTACAATTATAATACTTATGTATACCTATGTGAAATAGAGTGTTCGTGCAGATATTTCAAAGCCGAGAATAGCTACTTCATGATCAAAGCTGCCTTCTATTCTGAGATATGCTTTTATTCAATAATGAAGTTAAATAGTTCACCGCCCTGACAATACCTAAGATATTATTTAACTTAATTTAATTTTACTCTAGTACTAGGAAGCAAACCTCATTCCATTCCCAAATGTCGTATAACTTGATAATATTTGGATGATCCTTTATATAATTAGATACATTAACATACCAGTATTCTTAGAAGTTTGATTTCATTCTAAAATGTCATATAATCTTTAACTTTTTTCTTTTATATAGCTTTAATCGCATATTTATCACCTATACTTAAGTCATCAATACTTATTCAGATCCTTGATTTTCATTAATATAATCCTTCAATTACTTTACCTGTTTTCCTCTACTCTGCAAGATAAACTATTCCGAATCCACCGCTCGCAATCTTTTCAATAAAGTGATATTCGTCCTTAATGTTTCCGTTGTGAGAGTCAATAAACCAACCCTTATTATCCATAATTACTTAAATTTATAATTCAAATATATATATTTTAACTTCAGTAGATATCTTCGTCTAACTCCTGCACAAAAATATTATTACATGGGGTTTTGGGGTTTTGGGGTTTTGGGG